AAGCACATTTTCACCGATATAATACACTTGTAAATGTATCAATACTGCACAGTGTATTCTACAATTTTACAGTGCTAAAGGCCGTATCACACGCAGACTTATTTCAAGCAATTTTTCCTTCTACTGAGGGTGAAGGGTTTCCGTAAACAAAACGACATGCTCTGACGTCAACCGCGCACTTTCACCACATTGAAATGTTACTCGCCGATTTTTCTCCTTCGGAAACAACCAGACATTATTTTTTTTATACCGCTCGAGCTTACAAGATTCCTATTGGCTGGAATTCCAAGCAATTGTTTATTCCGGGCAATTTCTTGAGCTCACTAGCAAGAAATTGCTCTAAAGCGGTTGCTATGGCAACTGAGTAAAAATTGCTCTCCGAATTGGACGAAAAATTGCTTGAAATGTATACGTGTGATACGACCTTAAGTTAGGACCAGGTAAACATGGATCCCATTGTGGTCTTATCATATATAAAATTATATACAAAAATTAATACCGTACAAAATTAATAATTTGTATGGTTTATAATTAATCCCTCAACGGTCGATTAAAAGTTACATGATTCCCTCCCCAATGCCACCGTTTTCCATGTAGCCATGCTTATGTAATACATTGCGTGCGGGGGGAGAAGAAAAGGAATAAATAAGTAAATCCTCTGAAATAAGTACATGCTTCTCAAACACTCTTATATTCTTTTTTTGAATTTCAAAGCCTGAATAATTTTATGGATAACAGTGCGCAGAAAAGATCGTACTTGGGACAGACGTATATGTACGTCCGGGGAAAATAACGCTTTAGCTGAGCTAGATGTTTATAAGCTGCCTTAAGAGGTTTAAGAAGAATTGTAAATTTTAGCATCAAAGTATAATATTATTGAATTCAATAGATTGTTATTGTATGGAGGGGGCGCGATGAAAATGATGATTGAATATCGGGTCGCAAGTAGCACAAGAAGCACTGCAGTAGCTACTTATTTTATCCTTACTCATTTTTCATATAACATCCCTTCCAACTCTATTATACATTCCCCATTTATGACTTAAATGCACTTAGTAAAGACCATTAAAATACTATTTTCACAACACTTTCTCTTCACCTCTTCCTCTACGATCTCATCATTACTAAGGGTGTTTTTTAGAGGTATAGAACTTTAAATTGCAATAAAACAACGATGTATTATTCGATTGACATGAATTTTTTTATTCGAAAGATAATCTTGGGGCATTACATTTTAAATATGATTTCTGGCATAGGACTGCCACGGCTGGCTCGGATGTAGTCCAATCTGGACGTCCAATTTTCGGTGACTTTCCCCACCATTTGTGGCCGTATATCGGCAATAACACGGCGAATGTTGTCTTCCAAATGGTCAAGCGTTTGTGGCTTATCCGCATAGACCAATGATTTTACATAGCCCCACAGAAAATAGTCTAGCGGTGTTAAATTACAAGATCTTGGAGGCCAATTCACAGGTCCAAAACGTGAAACGGTCACCAAACGTGTCTTTCAATAAATCGATTGTGGCACGAGCTGTGTGACATGTTTCACCGTCTTGTTGGAACCACAGCTCCTGGACATCATGAATGTTCAATTCAGGAATGAAAAAGTTAGTAATCATGGCTCTATACCGATCACCATTGACTGTAACGTTGTGGATTTCATCGTTTTTGAAGGATTCCACCAGCCCATAAAGCGCGCCAAACAGTCAGTTTTTCTGGATGTAACGGTGTTTCGACATACACTTGTGGATTAGCTTCACTCCAAATGCGGCAGTTTTGTTTGTTGACGTAGCCATTCAACCAAAAGTGCGCTTCATCGCTAAACAAAATTCGCCTATGAAAATCGCGAACAACGGCAATCTCGTTTTGGGCCCATTCGACGAATCTACGCCTTGCTTGATGACGTTTTGATGAATTGCCAAACCAAACTGAGAATAAATCACTTGACAGCTGTTAAATCGGTCGCCATCTTGGAAAGTAATGCCAACTTAAACTTCTATACCTGGAAAAAAAAACACTCTATATAACTGTCAAAATTTTTACAAAGATCCCAGGTAACTGTAATTCACAAAATGTAGACGAGCTCGATAGAGCCATTGCAATCAACCAATCATTCGCCAAAATAAACAACGACTCCTTTTGAATCTGAATCGTGAATGTTATCCGAAAAAAAAGGCAACACTAAAAATGCCGCCAACAATTTTTCGATCTTTTTTTTTTAAAAGTAGAATACAGTAGAACCTATTTTTATGCGATTTTTTTTAATGCGATGTATAAATTTCCACGGCTTTGGCGTCACTATAATGATTTCTATCAATGTTCATGTATACACTTCAAAAAGAGCTTTGTCTTCATTGGTTATAAACAGTCCCTCGACAATGCTCCGCGTACTGCTTTATCCAAACGCATTAGCAGTATGCACTTGATTGAAGACGAATCACGGTCAAGTGATGAAGATGATATCTAAACGGCAGCTCTCCAAACTTTTGTACCACACCAGTGGGTGGACATTTGAGCCTCGACCTACTTAATTAATATATTTAATTAATCAATTCTTTTTTTAAGCATTTAGCAGAAGCCCTGTGGCTGAGGGGTTAGTGTATCGCGCTTCCACAACACAGGCCCGAGCTTCAAACCCCGGACTGGGCAAGGTTAACTCAGCCTTTCATCCCTTCAGTGGGTTGATAAATGAGTACCAAGCTTGCCTGGGAACTTAACACTGAAGGTTTCGCGTCAGACTGACCACCTGACCGGAATATCTGCTCATGTACCTCAGAGCCCAAAGTCGCGTATACTGAGTTGGGCACAGTAGGTCATGGGCTGTCGCATCACAAGTTCATATTTAAAGAGCATCAGTCTCCACAACACGGTGGGTCTTCAGCGGTACTAAGCTCGAACTCATGACACGTTGGACATGAGTTCGTGACCTTGACCACTAGGCTACCGAAGCCACTTTTAAATTTAGAGCTAATTTTAATTTTTTTTTTTTTTTACTGAGCAGATCCTCTTGCACACATTTTAATAAAGCATAACTTTTTCATAGACATACATAGAGTAAAATAAAGGTATAAAATGCATTAAAAAATATCGATACAATTCATCAATAGTTTTTCTTCTCATTTAAATGATTTTGCGTGAATGAAGATTTTTTAAAAATTAAAATATATAGATCATTGCTATATATATACCGGGTGGGCAAAAAGTCCGTAAAAACTTTAAAAATTCAGAAAATCCGGAGAAATGAACGAAAAAAAAAACTGTTTGCAGGATCAGCATTAGTATGTCACGGGATTATTTTTAAGCTAGAAAAAATAGTTCGAAAATCATCCGGTAGGTGGCGCTGTTACAAGCGTCTGTGGTGTAAATATGCAAATTAGACGGCTATAAAAACCTTTGCTCTCAATGAATCCACATTCATTTCCCCATTACATACAGTGAATGTGAACAAGGATACTCAGTGCGCCGGATAAAGCTTTGTTGGTGAAGTTATTTTACATGAACGAGGAATCAGCGACCATTGCCTTGCGTAAATTCCGAGTATAGAAAAATGTGAAGAGTGGAAAGGGCCCTTTAACTCCTGCAGGTCTCTTAAAGCTTGTTAAACGTTTTGAGGAAACTGGAAAGTTGGAGGATCGAGCACGAGCCGGACGACCATGCTTGAAAGAAGCACGTACACCCTGCATTGCTGTCGAAACGGAAGCGATTGCGTCCGAAGTAGCTTCAGGGACCAGCAGGGCTCGTGAAGCTGCCAGACGATTGGGCTTACCACCATCATCTGTCCGCAATATTCTTCGTCGAATCCCCCAGCTGTACCCATACAAATTGCAATCGTGCCATGAACTTTTGCCAGCAGATACCGCACAGAGGGAAGCATTTGCGAAGTGGGCCTTCTCTAAAATGGAACAGGATCCCACCTGGGTTTTTAACATCTTGTGGACAGATGAAGCTCATTTCTCGCTTCATGGTGACGTTAACAACCATAACTGTCCCATTTGGGCGACCTCTAATCCACGTGAGTACACACAGAAGCCATTGCATTCCCCAAAAGGGACAGCATGGTGTGGTTTCACGGGTTCATTTATCATAGGACCCTTCTTATTTGAAACGCAGTGCCCAGTAAATGGATGGATAACGGAAACGGTAAATGCTCAGCGTTATCTAACGCTTCTGCGGGAGACTGTTGTGCCATGTTTAATTCAACGAGGTCAGATTGCGAATGTCACGTTCATGCAGGATGGAGCAACCAGTGACACTGCTAACCCGGTTAAGGCATTCCTGATACAGACGTTCGGGGAAGACAGAATCGTTAGCAGGCGCTGCAGGTACCCATGGCCTCCTCGGTCTCCAGATTTAACACCGACAGACTTCTGGTTGTGGGGATATTTGGAATCTCGCGTGTATCTATCCGGTCCATCAAGTCTGCCGGAACTGAAAGATGCGATCCGCAGAGAAGTATCCTCCATACATCCGGACGTGTTGCACTCTACCGTTGCTGTATTTGTCACTCGCCTGGAATGTCTTCTCCCCTGTGGTGGTGGTCATGTGGTGTAATAAAGTTGTGAAAGTTTTCTGTTCATTATGTATGCATTGTTTCTTTGATTTGCGTACATCAGCGCCACCTACCGGATGATTTTCGAATTATTTTTTTTCTAGCTTAAAAAAAATCCCGTGACATACTAATGTTGATCCTGCAAACAGTTTCTTTTTTCGTTCATTTCTCCGGATTTTATGAATTTTTAAAATTTTTACGGACTTTTTGCCCACCCGGTATATATATAGACAAAAGATCACAGTATAAATCCATAAATATAGATATTTTTTCCAGTCCTACTATTAGTTCACACTTCAAAACATTTTTTTAAACTTGTAGTGGATGACACTTGATGTTAATATTGGTTTTCAAATATTAATTCATTTTTCAATTTAATTAATGAATAATTATTAACAAACAAAAATAATAATCCAACACCATATATATAAAGGAAAATCGCTTATTGTGTCCCTGTAGCGCAATGCATAGTGCGTTGGATCTCCAGTTCAAAGGTTGTGGGTTCGAATCCCACCCGGGATGGCATAACTTCTGTGTGAGAATGTTACTTCTTTTTACAATACTATTTTATTGGAATAATTAAATTTAATTATTAAATAGTAACAAACAAAAATAATACTCCTATACCATATATCGAAAGGAAAATTGCATGAGGAAAATAGCTTTCTATTTTGCCACTTAATATTGTAATTCTGTCATATACATTTTTATATTAATTGTAATTATTTAATAAAAAGTAACTAAAATAAAACTTTTCTTTGTTGAGCGAAGTAGGAATCGATTAAAATTTTTTCTTATTATTTGTTAGAGAAAATATTAAGTTTCAAATCAATCGAGCCACTTATTTGAGTCCTGATTCCACTAAGTCACCGTCGCACACAAGGGTTGATATGTATATTAATTCTGTTGAGGCTCAATGTCCCTCCCCCCACGTTGGCCTGGTGGAAAAGGGAATAGCAAAATGCCAAATCCGGTGTTGACCTTGCCATTTAGCTCTGGTTCAAAAGTATGAGATTTATTAATTGTGATTAACAACAGACTTTTGTGTCTAAAAGGCGGAATGCCTGTGGTAACCTAAGGCCGCGGTAGCCTAGTGGTCAAGGTAACGGACATGTAGCTGGCGTGTCATGAGTTTGAGTCCAGTACTGCTGAAGACCCGCCGTGAACGGAAGCGATGCACGTTAAATCTATCGAGGCTCAATGGTATAGTGTGGTAGTTACGAGAGGAGTTCCTGCTCAGGTGTCGTCCTCGTCACTTAACCAAGATTTAAAATTACGATGTCTGTCGACAATAAGCCTCGTGCTTTCATTCACCCACCAAGTTCTCTTGGAGTGAGTGAATATTGAAGTCACACTGTTCAGCTACACAAGCGCTTTTGGCGATAATTTTGAAGTATGGTCAAGTGACGAAGAGACGACACCTGAGCTGACCCCCCCCTCCTTACTACCAAAAAAACACCAACAGGAGGACGCTTGAGTTCCAGACAGATTTAACGCGCATCGCTTCCCTACACGGCGGGTTTTCTGTGGTACTGGGCTCGAACTCATAACTCGTCAGCCACGAGACTGTTACCTTGACCACTAGGCTACCGCGGTCATCTCTTGTAGCATAAGGCTTTGAAAAAGACTCCAAATTTACAGTGATTTCACTGTACTGTACTGAACTGAACTGAAATAATCATCAAAACAACCCCCTTCTTGTAACAACCCAAACAGCGTTTTATGAAACATTGTCTTGGTGCTGTGTATCAAAAAGGGACGGAAAAAAATAAGGAAACTTCGGTTAGCTAGCAAACACTGAAATGTCTATTGCTTTGAACACAATCAGTCTAAAAGGTAAGAGAAGAATTAAAATATTTTTATATCAACCACTGTTTTCTCCTTATTTAAGGTGTATAAATATAGTAAAAATCACATAAAAGCTATTACATCGTTATTTGGGCTCAATTCATGTCGGTCTCATGATAAAGACAATCACGTGATCGAGATTTAATTCAAAACTGACATTATGCTAACTTGTACTTGTTCTATTTGTAAAATTTAGATAAAGTTTCAAATTTCGTAATTGGATAAAGATTTTCAAATAAAATAAGGAAAATCATCAAAAATATTTTAAGATTGAAAAAAAAAAAGGATTTAATTTTATTTCTGTATTTTTAAATTTACTTGCTTATGTACGATATTGTTGACAAATACGTACTTTATAAAAGAAAGTTTCTGCAAAGAACAAAAATTGGCAACTACGAAGCGCATGAACTGATTAGCTGAAAAAACGTGATTGCATCTATCGTATGATTATGACGTCACATTAATTTAGCTCATTGTAATTCGCTTGGCGGTGATTTTCGATTTGTCATATTTTTCTCATAAATGTGGAAAAATTGAAAATTAATTTAACTTCGAATTACATTTTCTCTTTAATTTTCTACGAATTTATTTCAATATAGAATTCAATATAATACTATTGGTATTCTAATTTCTTTTCTACATATTCACTGGAATTATTTATGGAATTATTACTGGATTTTATAGAATTATTTTTCTCATAAATGTGGAAAAATTGAAAATTAATTTAACTTTTCGGATTATATATATATATTGCATTTTCTCCTTATTTTTCTACATATTTATTTCAACATAGAGTTCAGTATAATTCTATCGGTATTCTAATTTCTCTTCTAGATATCTACTGGAAACTTTGAAAACGCACTGAGACGGGCCTCAAAAGTTTGTCTAAAAATGGACTCGCTAAGGAAATCTTTGGAAAGATGTTCAATGAGCAACTCATCCAATCCTAGTTTTGAATTGGAAGAAAGTTTTAATTTAAGCAGCTTAATTGAAACCTTAGAAGTAGAGTCGGCTTTACTTAAAAGGGCAATTCGAAAAAATTTCGAATCTTTGAGGTTGAAAATGAGTACCACTGCTGAAATTTTTTCCAAAAATTTAGATCTCAGTACTCGAGGAGCTCTTGCATTTGTAGAGAATGAAGTAATGATAGCACGAAATCAGTTCCTGTTCGAAAGCATACTTAGGAAATTTGAAGAAACTAGTTTGGAAATGGGTGAAATAGCTAAAAAGGTTGCCAGTAACAATTTTGAAGGAATTCTTAAAAAGATAAGTATTCACAACAATCGAATGAAGCAAAAATTTACACCCAGACGTAAATTTCAACAATGGACAATATACAAAGGAAACTCAACGTTGTTTTTAAAGCTTTGTTTGTTTAGTCTTGCTGTTGTGATTTTAGTCGTTTTTTCAGATTATCATTGGAACATTGCTAATAAAATCTTTGAAAATTCCGTTCAAGTGTTACAAACTACTGTACTAATATATATTATGTTTGTTATATACTATTACGTTCATTAAGATATTTAATTAACTTTTTGCATTGTATAATGCTAAATACTTTTATGTGCTGTTGTTTAAACTAACTTATTTACAAACTTTTTCTTTGTAAACTTCAATTGCTTTTTCAAATATACAACTCATTTATTAGCTGATGTAAAAATAAAAGTAAACTTGAATTTTTTTTTTCAATAATATCTGAAATCATTCTTTGGAATTCATACATTTTTTAAATTTCTACTCGTTGAATAGAAATGGCTATTTTTTTTTATATTAACTTTCAAGTTGCCTTTAAGTATCATGCCCGAGATAATCTCGCGAACAGCACTTGTGGTCCAAAATGTCACACCCGAGTATTATACTGGGTAATTTTTATTGTGTGTATCTTATTGTTAGACCCTAATCTATATCGGGAAAAGTTAATTTGAGCTAAATTCAATAGATGGTGTTTGATGAGCATTATTCATTCTACTTCCATGATCAACCTAAAAAAAATTGAAAATATAATCAAGCCAAAGATTGTTTTTTGAATAATGAATTTTATTGTGAATGGTAAAGATCGGTATAAAATCGGGAAATGTCCTTTCATCCGACAATCCGAAACGCTAGAAAAATATAAAGAGGTATTTTTAACTTTTTACACATAGACAAAATACTTTGGAACTCATTTTTGTTGTATAAAAATGTAGTTCGGAAATATATTTTTAGAATTTCGAATCTAAGATGTAAAAGAGCTTTTTTACGAATAAGATGATGTAGCTTCTAGATAAAAGAATTCTGGCCGTCTTCCTATTCCTGCAAATCGTGAGCCTACAAGGCAGTGAAAATTTTTTGTTCAAAAAAGGTAAGGAAGCACGATTCTGGTGCAATGATTGCGGAGTTGGTTTGGGCTTGGAAAAGTGTTTCTAGCTACAACACACAAAACTGAATTACTAATAAGTATTCACATTTTAATTAAAAAAAAATATTGTGTGCTCCTCTTGAAACGAACTTTAAGATATCCAACTACGTTCGGAACCGTGTTTTTCAAAAGCCCATAAATGGATAATTTTCATGATATTTAGTGTCACTGAGATTAGAATATATGCATAAAATTGTTTTAAGGACATTTTGCCAAAAACTTTTTATTTAAATACAATATTTTGGCAAAAAATTAACTTAAATAATCTTTTTTCCAAATATGTTCTCCTTTTGTGAAAAATGGTTCTATTATGATAATATTTTGCTTGTATATAGCTCAGACCTCTCTACAGAGGCTCAACTAGAATTTTTGAAATATATAACTTAGAAGTGGGTTTATATTCATATTTTACAACACTGGGGAGCAATTTTAAGAAAAAAAACCGCCAATAATTATTTCAATTGGTGGTAACTCTGAAAATGTGAATTTTTCAAAATTTCTAGTTGAGCCTCTGTAGAGAGATCTGAGTTATACAGGCAAAATATTATTATAATAGAACCATTTTTCACAAAAGGAGAACACTTAAAAAAGTTATTCTAAGTTAATTTTTTGCCAAAATATTATATTAAAATTTTTTTTTGTTAAAATGTCCTTAAAACAATTTTATGCATGTATTCTAATCTGAGTGACGCTAAATATCATGAAAATTATCCATTTATGCGCTTTTTTAAAATCATTGTTCCGAACGTAGTCGGATACCTTAACACTGACACTTTGTGTGTTAGCCACCTCAAGCGCATATGCAGTTGATACACAACCTCAAGATTTAAGGCATGCTATTCAAAATATCAGTTTTTAACTATTAAGGAATTTTTTCTTGTTCTAAACATTTGATTTTGAAATAAAAAAAAATTGACAATTTATGTTTCCAAATAATTTAAATAACTTGACAGTTAAAGTGTTAAAATAATTGTGTAAAAATATTCAGATTTAGGTATATGCTTCTTTTAAACATACATTTTGAAATGCTACAAATGAAATATTCAAGTAAGGTACGATGTTAGTTCAGTAAGAAATTGGATCTCGAAAATTCTCGATTACAATTAAGTTTTCTGTGAACTTTAATCTCGTAGAAAATTTTTCATAAAAATAAGAGAGTAACAATTTAGGTTAAAGTGAAGATAAGGGAACTTTTTGGATCTGGCGAAGTTTTTTAGATTTCATCGTGCAATAACACTTTCATTCTAGCAAACCGATTAGGCTCCGTATTTAACTG